AGTCATTTTAACACACTGTGGTCTCCTAGGATGGTTCTATAATCCAAGGTTCTGGGGCATCTTGTCCTATTCTTTGTTGGATCTGTGGACCCTGGCTCATGTTTTTCTATGTGTGTATTGTGTGATTTCGGATTGTGAGCTCATCTGCAACAGGGTCTTAACCTGGTGAAACCAGTAATAATCAAATCGTTTACTTCTAACAGATGACCACTGGTCCAGACCGAATTTTATGTTATTTCTTAGCCTAGGGGTTTCTAAGTTGTTCAGGAACTATTTATTCAAACCCCAAAGCCACTAAAGGCTCATGCCAGTGGTTTTGAATTCTCAAGGGAGACATTTTCCCCTCCTGACCTAGAGCTCAGTTCAAGATAAACAAGATCTCTTCCCACTTTTCTAAGCCAGAGATTGACTATTTCTGGGCTACAAATTTTTAAATGATGTTGTCCTTGTAGGGTCGTGGCTTTCTGTGGAAGTCTTAGTGCCAATACTCCACCTCCCAGGGACTGACCATCTTGTTTCGTATCCCTGAACAGTATTAAAAACCCAAACCCCTGTGTAAATAAGAGCAGCTCTAAGATCAGCACCACTAATCCACCCCCGTGGCAACTGCAAAGGGCAGTCCATGCAATTGCTTTTCCAGCTCTCAGTTTCCTATTGGTTTCTGACTCTTGGAGAGTTTTTGTATATTTAGCTTTGTCAATAACAGGTAGCATTTCTGGTGTGGAAGCACCTGGCACCATGCTAAGGGCTTACCCATACTAACTCATTTAACTCCTGTAACCTCCCTTGAGAGACTGAGATATTTTATCAGGCTCATTTCAGATAAGGAAATTGGGGCCCAGAGAGGTAAAGTAACTTGCCCAAGTTCTCATGGCTAGTAAGTAAAGAAGTTTAGATTTGAAGTGTAGGCACACTAGCCTGTGCTCTTACTACTCTATACTTCTTATTTAGATACTTAGGTGTTTTTGTAAGAGAAACTAGACTCCATGCTGCAGTTTCATGCTGTTTCTCCCAAAACATCCAAACCAAGAATAACTGTGTGAATAGACATGCTTTCTGTTGCACAGACAGACACCCTGGCAATTTTGACTAGCTTGTCTCGTGGAGGAAAGTGTAAGCCTGTACCTCAGAGGAGAAGCCCAGATCCCAGGCTCCGTCAACAGGCATGCGTTCTCACTCGAAGTAAATACTTACGGTTAGGGAAACTGAGCACGTCAGATTTGTCAGGGACATGAGATGCAGCCTTTCTCAAGGAGCGGTCTGTGGGCCATCTACACCAGAACCAACCCAACGTCCTTCCTAAAAAGGCAGATTACAAAGCCCTGTGCGAAACTCACAGAATCAGAACTCCTGGGGTTGGACCCAAGAAACCTCTTACTAAGACAAGTTCTCTATCAGGTTCAAATGTTAATGTCCATTAGAGTTTGAGAACCGCCACTCAGCCCTTGCTCTGGAGCCCAAGCTGGGCTCAAGTTCCTCCTTGATGTGTGACCATGGCAGGCACAGAAAAGCCACCTTCTCTTCCTTTTGTGACCTGGTACCACCCACTTAAAGCACAGACAAGGGAGCAAGCACACAGGAAGGGACCCTCTGCCGGGACCCCATCGCACCTGGGTTCCTCCTGGCACATCAAGTTCTACTCTACAATGCACATAATTGCCTTGACTGCTCATTTATCTCCCCACGTTGTCTGTGAAGACAGAAGACATTCCGCTTTGTTGCCCCAGTGGTACCTAAGTGCTTTTGTTTGTGGAATGAATGGATACACTGATTTGCTTAAGAGTCTCCTGCGAATCAGTGATGCTTCGAGGACCAGAGCTGAGGTCTGAATTACTTAAGGAGCCTCTCAGACTTACAACCCTGCCGATCTAGCAGGCACTTTCATCCCATTCTTCCAGAGGCAGACAGAATTGCCCTCTTTGCCAAAAGGATGTCTGAGGTCTGGACAACTCAGTCCTTCTCACCCGCTGCATCGGGCTGTGACGCAGGGATTGCCATCCAGCGACCTCACCAGAAGGGAGTGGAAGCACATGGGGGCAGACCATTTAGAAGCTGTCGTGTGGGAATCACTGGGAGGTGCTGTCTGGCAGTGACCCAAAGGGCTCAGCAACTTCCAGACAGAGAATTGCTCGCCGTTGGTCCTTGAAGGCAGGGAAGCTGGGCCGAGACGCCGACAGGCTCCCACCTGTCTTCCTCCAGCAAACATGACCTTGTAACTTGTAGGCCTGCCCCCTCGTCCCTGCAATTCCAGCAAAGCCTGGCAAGGGGACCCTGTGTGAAGGGAACTAGCCCCAATTCTCTGTCAACACTCGCAGCAGACAGAATGTTCCAGCAGACTCTCTGCCCACACTCCCTTCCTCACACCAGGTTAGCCCACTCACTTGGGGCTTCCAGGAAGAGAAGAAGCTGTCCATTAAAGTCTTCTAGCTCACATCTATGTAAAATGTTTTCTCCTAGAGATGCCTCGGTGGCTCTGTCGGTTAAGCATCTGACACTTGGTTTTAGCTCAGGTCATGATCTCACACTGTGTGAGTGCAGAGCCTGCTTGGGATTCAACCTCACCCTCTCTCTCTGCCCCTTCCCTGCTCACACTCTCTCTCTCAAAATAAACAAAACTTAAAAAAATAACTAAAATATTTTCTTCTAGGTCTTTCTATGTGCCTGGCACTGTGTGGAGTCCTCTGCAGGTTACTGAGAAGAGGAGGCCTTGCCCCCCACCCTATATAGACAGGAAGGCAGACCTTCCCACACTTAATGCAGGCCTTGTCAGATCATCCTCCGGCTGGGGTGGGGGGACACTTTCAGGTGCGTAGAGAGGCTTCCCCTTCTCCTGCCTGAACCCTTCAGCCTTGGGATGTGCTCCGCAGGTGCCACACCTTGAGAGGTGATGCTTCAGTGCTCTCGGGGTTCCATGGCCTGCACACTTCCATGCCATGGAATCCCCTGCCTTTCCACGAAGCTCCCCCACACAGGGGTCTAGAAGCAGCTTCAGGGCTCTGCCTCCTACCCCACCCACTCACTCCCCGCTCCGGCTCCCATGTTTCACTTCTTACTCACACCTGACTGTACGTCTAAGTTCTCACTGGTCTGGAAGCCTCTGTGACACTGTTTTGGGGCCCTTGTCGGCAGGAATGGGGAATTCTCAGCAGTTCCCCATCCTGCTGAGAAATGGGTAAGTCTCTGGACGTGAGGACACCAAACACCAAGTGGCCTGCTTAGCAGTTTCCTGTGGTCTGTCCGTGGACACACTGTGTTCCTTCGTTCATTTGCTCAAATGTATATATTTAAGACAAAAGGGAATGTACTGGCTCAGGTGTAAACCGACACTGGGCGTAGAGCTGAGGCATGAAGTAGGGGAATTCATTCTCTGCCGGGGCCTTGGTTCCTCTCTCTGCATCTCAGCTCTGCTAACTCCAGGGGCTCCATCCCACACATGGTCTCCCCCGTGGTGGCAAGACTCAGCAGCTCAGGCTCCCCACTGGCCTCTATCCGATTCCAACGGAAGCGCCAGGCTGGCCTCCCTGGCTCTAATTGGTCTGGATTGGGGCGTGTGATTACCCCTGAACCTCTTTCCCATGCCAGGGAGATGTGATTCACCCACTGGCCAGATTTGAGCTTCCTGCTGCTCCCTCTTGGGGGTGGAGTCAGCTGGCCCAGGACCACGTGGGCTGGAAGGAAAATGGGCTACTAAACAGGAAATAGAATAAATGATAGTGATCCAAAATAGCAAACTAACACTTTGAGCACTATCGACGCTGTAAGCGCATTATTTTATTTAGTACCAACCTTGTGAGTTAGGTACTACTATCTCCATATTTGATAAGACAACCCAAATATTACCTCAAGTGGTGGAGAAGGGGGAAGATCCCAGGTCCCCCTGATTTCAGAGCCATTCTTGTACCATTTTGCCTGTAAATCACTCCATCTGACAAACCACTCAAGCTTGAAAATTTAGTCTTCTTCCACTTCTCTTTCTCCCTCATTCTTCACATCTAATGGTCACCAGATCCTGCTCTTTCTACCCCACCTTTCAGATTCCCCTGACCCAAGTGGCCTCCATTACTTCTCTCCCACATATAGACAAATATCGTCCCCACCCCAGGACCCTCCAGTGATGGGCTTAGACTGGACATAACTCATAGACACGCCTTAGTTAGCCTGATTTTTAAAAATATTTGAGGCAAACTTTTTAAATTAGAATATTCCTCAAGCATATAATTTTTCAACTTATTTTGAAAAACTGGAAGATCTGCATCCCACACGCCCCCCACCCCATGCCAATAATGGATAAAACGGCATAGCCATTGCCTGCCTTAAAAAGGGCAACTGTGCTGTGGTTTGCCAGTGTTCCCACGTTCCTGTTCTTTTTATAAATAAAATTAAAATATTTGAAAAGGTACTATATCCACTGGTTTAGAAGACAGAAAGTACAAGGAGGGATACAGTGAACAGTCTTGAAACTCTTTCGCCTCCCTTGTAGCTTCCCAGAGATATTCTGTACATAAACAACCAAGTACACACACACTCTCTCTCTCTCTCTTCCTTATCTTTACAAACAGGGCATCATGCCAAATTCCCTCCCAGTTACCTTGGTGTTTTTTCTTAACAATGTCTCTTGGAGATTATGTCATGTCTGTACAGAAAGAGCTTCCTCGTTTGGGGGGGGGTGGTTTACAGCTGGATAGAATTCTATTGTATGAATATACCATAATGTATTTAACCAGTAACATATTGATGGACTTTTGGGGCATTTCAAGTCATTTGCTATTATAAACATTACTATAATGAATAATCACACACAACTGCGATTTCACACGTAAATAAGAATAAATTCCAGAAGTAGAATTGCAGGGTCGAGAAGGATATGCTAAAATGAAGCTTTTAATTGCAGGAGACAAAACATGATATCCAAAAATTAAAGATGACTCTTGCTACACCACACTGACTCACCCATACTGATGTCTCGAATCTATCTCTTCTACCAGGCACTAAGTTCCCGCAAAGCAAGAAGCTGGTTTGTCTCACTTATCATCACATCCTTACCATCCAGCACCATGCCTAGAACATAGTGTCAACCAACAGGGGCTAGAGGGAGGGAGAGAGAAAGAAAGCGTTATTTTTTTTTAAGACTTTATTGTTGATTTATTTCTTTTTAAATGCATTTATTTATGGGGGTGGGGAGTGAGACAGAGAATCCCAACCCACACTGACAGTGAGAAGCCCAACGTAGGGCTCATACCCACTAACGGTGAGATCATGACCTGAGCCAAAATCAAAAGTCAGACATTCAACCAACTGAGCCACTCAGGTGATTATTTTAAATAGAGGCTAATTCTTAGGAAGCTGGGCTCACCCAAAGGCCCTGATTCTATGAGCTAACAGAATAAGGAATCATTAGGCCCTCCAAAAAGTCTCCCAAGTACACCAGAGGGAAAAAGAAAAGTAACTCAACCCTAAGGTCGGGCTGTAGTAGAGCGAACATGCCTCCTTCTGAGACAAGGAGCTGTATTAGATGCCATTCTCCTACTTGGCCCGAGTGAGAACAATACTGTGGAAGCCAATCCCTCTCTATTCCAGGAAGGGAAAAGTTGAGTTGGAGGTAGAAAGATGGTCCATCAGGGGAAAAGATAATCAGCCCTCTGTTCTTTTAGTTTTAACTAGAGCCACATTGCTCTCCAGCTTGACGGAATGATGTTGATAGATGCCTTTCCTTTTCATCCAGATATTTCCCACATGGCTTCAGGAGTCCCTGAATGGTATGTTTTGGCACAAACTATACCCAGAGGATCTTTAAGAGGTCTTACCCCTAAGCAAATTCAATAAAACAAAGCGAACAAGTCCTTGGCACTAGCTAGAATTCTCTCCAAACTCAATATTGAGGCCTGATGCACTTTCCAAAAGTGGAAGCCACCAGCAGGCCCTCGGTATTCTTGGAATGTATGAATGCCTGAAGACAGAGTGGTAGAAGTGTAAGAAGATTACACCAAGGATTTGAGAGCTTCTCCCCTCCCAACCCAGTAACACCAACCAAGCTTGAGAGGAGGAAGGAGAAGAAGGACAAAGAGAAAATGGGGTAGGAGAGACTTGGTTCTGACTGGAGGGAGGTGGGTGACTCTGGGAGGAAAGCAGGACAGCAGTGGTTCAGCTGGACAGAGAGAGAGAGAGAGAGAGCAGGAGAGGAGAGAAAAGCAGGGGGAAGGGAGAGGAGAGCTGGGGACACAGGGAAATGTGCAGGGCTTACTAGGGCTGCTTCTCCCCTGGCTTGGTGGAGAGTATGCCTGAATCCCCCTGATCTCTTTCATGGAAAGGGCAGGTCTTCCTAGAGGAAGACCACAGAGGTCCATGACAGGCTGTCTCCTGGGAGGTTATAGAAACAGGGGCTGTGGTCAGGCCAACTGGAGAGGCGTTTCGGCGACGGTTTGCCCTGGTATGTGAAAAATTCTTCCTGCTTAGATAGTTGGCAAACATTTTAGAGGCAAAATGGAATTTATTAACAGAAAATATTTGTCAAGGATTGTTCCTTTCCCCTCCCTCTGTTCTTTTTTTCCTCTCTCTCTCTTTTTTTATCTTCTCCTTCTCCAGATGGAGAACTTCATTAACCAGGTTCTTTCATCTTCCTTTGTGGTTTGGATCTCTAGGCCTGGCCTGAAAGAAGAGGGAGATGGCTGAAGAGGAAACGTTTGGTCCTCTGCCCACAGGACAGCTTCCTTCTCTACATACAGGTGTCAGCCTTCTGCCCCAGAAAGAGCCTGCACTGCTATGGAATTGTCTTTCCAGAGGAATTCTTTCTGTTCATCCTGGTGTGGACTTGTGACCCCACAGACCAAGGTTTGAATCCACGATCCACCACTTATTAGTGGTGTGGCTTTCATCTTTTGGGGCCTCCATTTCCTTAGGAACAAAAGGAGGGGGTGTGATCCTTGCCTCTTGCCAGTGCTGTGAGGCTATAATGAGAAAGTGTATGTTAAATGTCTGGTACAGTGTCCAGCCCAGAGTAAAACATCAATGGCTGCTAGCTCTGTTACTTCTGACAGAGCACAGAGAGCCTGTGCTAACCAGCTCACACAGTCACTCGACTAAGAATCAGAACGTGGCAGCTACAGGTATCGGTTCATACGAAATTTACAGTTAACCAGAGGCAGCAAAAATAGAGACAGTTATTAAGAGTTCACTAAGGACCTCGACACTTTATCAGTATTATTTAGCCCACACTGCCAGCTTTCCATTATTCCAAAGTAGGAGTAGAGCAGCTGAAACAGCATTTGAACCCAGGCCATCTTGTTCTCTAGTGTACTCTGGTAATCATAACGAATGCTCCACCCCTGTGGCAATGGAAAGGAACCATGGAATAAAATCACTCTAGAAACCAGACAGGCTTGAGAGATCAGGTTTTCCAGATCTGCTTTGCAGAGGAGGGAAATTAAGCCAGAGAAGGGAAATTCTCACCCAAGGGGATTTCTACCATGTAGTGGGAGAGCCAGGACCAGACACCCAGCATCTGGAATCTCAGGCCAGTTGTCACAGAGAAGAAAGGAATGGTCAGATTTGCTGGGGAGAGAGACCACTGGTTGGCCACTGCCCTTGAGAACTGCAGGTCTTAACTTAAGTCCACAAATTTAACCCACAAGTCAAACTTTTTTCAACCACCTATGAGCGGGTGTCTGCCATGAGGGAGGCATCAAGGGGTGCATTCACCAGGGGGGAGGTGGAAGACAGAGGACACCTCCTCTGTGGAACTGGGAACAGGCGTTGGGCCATGTTAAACTCACCTCTGATGAGCTGGAACGAGGCAGCTTCAGGACCACTGAGCATGAATCCAATGTTGGGCTCTGTGGAGATCTAGAAGAAGAGGGGCCTGTAGTATACCTCTTGAGGAGCCAGGCAAGACTCGTTTGCAACAGTCCTAAGAAACCAAGTGCAGAACTCCGTTTTCTCCAATGTAGGCAGAGGCCTGCCACACCTGTGCACACAGGTTCTTCAAATACTCAAAGCATCCTTACCACTTGGTGAATAACCACTACCTTGAGCCGAGGAGTGCCCTGGCAACCCCTGTCTCTCTGCTGACACCTTTATACCTCCCCCCAAGTCCACCAACTGAACAGCTAACACAGGCCCCAGCAGAGGCATTCTGGAAGCTTGCTCCTGCCCTCAGAGTTGGCTGTTACAAATGATCCAGGACTAAATTCATTCTTACTGTTTTTACGTTTGAATGTCACCTCCAGATGAAGCTACCCAAATGGAATGAAGCATCTAAACAGAGGCACATGGGGTCGATCTGGGTGGCTCCTCAGAGGAGAGATTCCACAAAGGAAATCTGAAGGGGTAAGAGATGCAATTTAGTGGCTAGGAGAGTGAGGGTTTGGACAAAAGCTCTGATTAAGGGGCAGTCGTCTTGTTGCATGCAGAGGTTTAAATACAGGGTTCAGACGACTTTCACATCCCTCTGCCCTCTGCTGCCCCCTGGGCCCCTCCCAGTGACAGACTCAGAGGGCCAGCCCAGTAGCCAGCGGCCACATTATTAATACTTCTTGATCTGCCGGACTCCCTGTGGTTTCTCTGCTAGCGATGCCCTCCCTCCCCTCATTGCACACGCTTGGGGCTTATGCTCCTAGACAACTCGTGCTGGAAGAATGCAGGTCACAACAGCCATAGAAGGCTCCCCAGCAACCCACCAAATCCTCTGCCCAGCACGGTCCTCCAGAAGTCACTCAGTCAGGGTCCAAGGTAGGAGGCCGTGAAATCAACATGCAGACATTTTGCAGGGAAAGAGGTTCAATAACTCGTGGGGGATGGTGTCCCATATCTTATGACAGTTAGAAAAGGGTTCCTTAAGTCTTCTCTCCTATTCAAAGGGAGAAAGAGCAAATTGGGACAGGGAGAGAGGGAGGGGCCGGAACTGCCAAAGCCCATTCACCTTCTCCTGTGTTGCTATGGAAATGGAGATGGCTGTTCATCCCGCTGGCTCTGGAGCTGGACAGCCCTGGGTTCACGTCCCAGTGCTTCCTCTTACCAGCCATCTGACTCTGGATGGGTTATCTAACCTCTCAGAGCCAGTTCTCCATCTATGAGACAGGAATAATGGTAACACAGAGTCCTTCCAGGGATTAGATGAGGTAATGAATGGAAAGCATAGACCCATGTGGCCATTGTTAGTGCCCTTCTCTTCCTTCATCATATTAAGCTGGACAAAGAAACAAAAACGATCTCCCAAGCTGTTCAAATATGCATACAATTAGGTTAGGAGTATTTTCTGCCAGCTACAGACTTTCTCACACATCTTCACCTGGTCTTTTCTTCCCTTGGTGTCCCCATCTCTGGTTCTCCCCCAGGAATGAAAGAGTGAGAGATGCCTAGACAGTCAGGAGATGGTTCCTGAAGCCACACAGATATTTCAGAAGGGGTTTCTGCCATTTTGTACCTCATTCATATTTGGAGCCTCCCAACACATTCCATGCTTAACAGGAAACTTCCACCTCTAGGAAGAGTAAAGATAGAAGGATAAGGTGTATCTGGGTGGCTCAATTGATTGGGTGTCGTACTCTTGATCTCAGTGTCGTGAGTCCAAGCCTCTTCTTGGACTCTGCGCTGGGTGTGGAGCCTACTTAAAAAAAAGTACAAGGATATGAGATACACACACATATATTTGATGCACATATCATACATAGTACATATAGCAATATAGGTTGTGGTATTATATATGTTATAATTCTATATTAAAATATAATCATATACAATATGATATAATGTATATCACAACTTGAACGCCAAATGAACAATGCTGAACAAATTAAACAAATAACTAAATAATTAAATAAATATTTATTTATTTATGCTAGAACACTATCAGGCCATTAAAAATTAGGTTTAGACACACCTGGGTGGCTCAGTCAGTTGAGCATCCAACTTAGAGTCAAGTCATGATCTCATGGTTTGTGAGTTCAAGCCCTGCATCAGGCTCTCAGCTATCAGTGGGGAGCCCCCTTTGAATCCTCTGTCTCCCTCTCTCTCTCCCTCTCTCAAAGATAAATAAAGATTAAAAAAAAATAAAAAATTAGGCTTGGGATAATAGAGAGAGTCTTAAAACATAAAATATGGTGAAAAAGTCAAGACAAAGAACTGTATTTATGGCATGATCTCACATATCCAATAGGTGTTTGAGTACAGAGGAATGGCTGGAAGAAAATTCACCAGAATGGGGATTCTGGTCAATTCTGAGTGTTGGAATTGGACGTGAGTTTTATTTCTTCATTACAAAAATAATCCATGTCCATTGTAGAAAATTTGGAAAATGCAGCATGGTATAAGCAGAAAAGGTTGATTTTATTTTTAAAATGTTTTTGAAAAAGAATGGTTGGTTTCCAGCAGACTCACCAGGAGCCCCAGCAATCAAAAGGATCAGACCCTCTACTACTCAATGCCCACCCCCAGTGTCTGCACACTGTCCTCTGCACACACCTGCACACATGCATGCACACATCCATTCATGGACACACGTGCATGAACACACATGCTCACGCATGCATTCACCTCTGCACATACAGCACACCCTGAGATTTCACCAAGACGTGCGGTTCTGTCCCCTGGGGGCATTGCAGGAACTGAGAAGAATGTATCTGGTGTGAAATGAGGAGGCAGGGGAATGTACTTCTGGGAATACAGTTCCTACTAACCGTCATCTTCATTCTGAGAGTCTTTGCCAGAGAAATTAGCATCTATGGGACGGCGGGGAGGCTGCTGTTTTAAGAACAATATAAGCAACTGTCTGGAAGGACTTGAGGGCCCTTGCACCCCAGCCCCAGGTGCCCAATCATCTCTTGTCCTGTTCCAAGCAGCTATGTGACTTAGTGGCTTTCAGGAGCACCATGTATTTGCTATGATCGTGTACCTCTAATTTGGGCAGTGTTTGCTGGGAGCAGCGTGCCTCTGCTCCATAGGCTGTAGGCCGGGCAGCTGGACTGGGGGCTTCGGGACGGCTCACTTACAGGGCTGGCACGTTGGCACCCAGCACTCAGCCAGGGCCAAGGGCTGGGAGCGTCGGCTCCTCTCCACGTGGACTTCTTCTCCCCACGGGCTGCTTTGGCTTCTTCTCAGCATGGTGGCCAGGCTCCAAGGGCAAGCATCCCAAGAGACAGGAAGTGGAAGCTGCCAGCTTCTGAAGGCCCGGGCCCAGATACTGGCATAGTACCTCATGTACTCTGTTCATTTCTCAAATAGTCACAAGGCCAGATTTAAGGGGAGGGGAGACATCCCACCTGTCAAGGGGAAGGGGATCAAAGAATTTGGAGGCCAGGTTTCCAAAGTGCCATACACAGGCACTTCTTGGGGGTGTTCCTTTCAGGCCAAGCCACCACGGCACTCCTGAAGGACAGATGGGATGAGAAGTTTCTAGAATGAACAACATCACACCACATCCATAAAGAAGCAGGCTGCTCTGGCCTGGAAAAGAAAATCCCAGTATCTCTCTTTGCCCCACCTCCCCAGCTCCCATGGAATGGACCCTCTAGCCTCTGGGCAAGCCTCTTCCATCCCCTCTGTCCCTAACAACCCTGACAGCTTCCTGTCCCTCATCATCCACAGGGCAGAGACCTGTGTGAGCAGAGGGAATGTTCTGTGACTCCTCAGAACCAGCTCGAGAAGCCAGATGACAGAGGAATCAGGCCACTTCTCTCCAAGCGAATAATGAAAGGCAACAGGGAGCCAGCTGTGCTTTGTCCAGTCAGTTTGTAGCCCTGTGGGACTGCCCTGCTCATGAGACTGTGACTCCCGAAGCCACTGAGAAAGGATCTCACAGACAGAGTCCAGCCCCTCATACTCAGAGGACACTGAGGCTCAGAGCAAGGAAGAGGCTGGCCCTGCAGAACGGAGCCCAGAGTCCAGTTCTCCCGATTCCAAGCCCAGCGGCCCCTCTTCCAGGCCACCTCTTTTAGGACACATTTGTTCCCTACTGTCCGTGGGGCTCCCACTGTGAGGAAGGCACTCACACACACGGGAGCTCATTTCACCACACACCAGCCTGTACGGCCCTTGGCCCCGGCTAGAAGCACAGCCCCAGGTGGGAGTCTGGCACCTCACCCAAGTACCATGGCCAGCAGTGCTTGGAAAGATCTGGCAGCCGCATCCTGGTGTCTGGGCACGAGAGCAGGAGTGTAGAGTTCTTCTTCTGCGGCTGTAGAGCAAGCCGGCCGGGTCACCCCACGCGACCGTGCAAGTCAAAACCTGCCTTAGGGCACCTGAATGAGGGGGCAAGCAAGGGCTGACATTCTGTGTGGTGCTGACTTGCCCAGACATGCCCTGCAGGCAGCAGGGACCCCATGCCCCTCACCCTTCCCCACTGGCAAACAGAACGCCCTCCCAGTATTTCCGGTGGATGATTGTTTAACGAGTGTTTATTGAATATCAGGTATTTGCCTGGAACTGTTACAGACACTGGGAATAGAGTGAAAAATGAGGCAGACGAAATCCCTGCCCCTGTGAAGCTAATGATCTCCTGGAGGAGACAACGTAACACATGGGAGTGGTGAGTGCTATCAAGGACAGGAAAGTAGAGATGGGCTGGAGAGGGCTGCAAGGGCTACATTCCACACCCTGATCTGGAAAGATCTCTCCAAGACTGTGGTGTGTGGGGAGAGACCTGAATAGGGGAAAGGAACAACAGAGAGATCTGGTGGCAGCACCAGCCAAGTCGAACAGGGGTCAAGTGCACATGCAGTGAGCGGGGAGGGTCTGGCTGTCCAGGCTGGAATGGCTCATGTATAGGGAAATGAACCTGGAGAGCTGACGAAAGGTTCCTGCTCTCTCTGCGCCGGAAAGGGAGAAGGTTTAACGGGCACTTGTTTAGTGTTGACTGTGGGCATGACATCTCCAAGCACATGGAGACTCATGGAAGTTACCAGATCATACAACATACAGCAGTGAAATTGGGATCTGAAGCCAGGAACATGTGATTCCACAACCCATTCTGTTTCTGCTACCTCATATCGCCTTCTGAAAAATAGGCTTTTCCTTTTCAAAAACGGAGACACTTTTATCTAAACAGTTACCGCATGGGACACATTGACCCCCTGTCTGAGCATTGGACAAACAGTGGCAAACACCTGCCTTATGGGCATCAGCCCGGACAAATGCAGACAGCAGAGACTCACTCTAACCTGTGCACTGATCCCTGTCCCCAAGGCTCTGGAAGGGCTATGGTTTGTGCAGTCACGAGATGCCCAGAGGCAAGAACAGAAAGAAATAGGACTCCCTGGTGGACCCATACCCTCACCTCCTCCAGGTTCCTGGGCCTTTGAACCCCCTC